AGTTCTGTCAAGCGTGGCGTCCTTCATGGCTCCTCATCAGGTCCAGTTTTTCTTTTTATTTTATTGGCATTTATGGTTTGATTGAAGCTGTGCAGACGATACAGCTGCAATCACCACTTAATTTACATCCTTGTGGTTATTTAAACTGTCCTTGCTTTTTAGTAGACTTATTTTCAACCTGATTAGGTCGTCTTAGTCGTTACATCTTTGCCATTTAATAATCTAGCGACATTTATAAAATTTAAGTAACTTTTGAAGGAAATAGTTGTACTGGATTCTATTTAAGGGTATTAAAATAAAACAGGTAAAAATATATTTGCAGCATTGCTCAGTTTTTTATTACTGAAAACATATTTACAACCATGCAGCATTGGTGTTGGTCTAACAGATAAAATCCCAATAAAATGTATATGAATTTGTGATTGCAAGGTGACAAAATGTGGTTCAGAGATTTAAATAATTCAAGACTTCATATAATCATTTACAGATTTGGATAAATTGGTTTTACAGCAGTGCATGGCAGTGACCAGACCTGGCAGTGAGATTAAGGGTCAGTAGGTGAACAACTGGAAGCTAGAAAACCTTTATTTTTCATCAATAATCATTTCCACCCCTCCTAGGCTTATGTGATGTTATCCTGCAACACTCTGTAATAATAAGGGTAACATTAATACCATCAAAACACCCTTCCACTCTATTTTAAATCAGCACCTGAAAAACAGATGTTGGCACTGTGACAGAACCAGAGGTGGGGGTGGTGCCATTAAGCTGAATACACACTGTTCTGTTGCCTGGTGTAGAGGTCGTTTACTTGTCTGACACTGATAACCCTCTCAGATTGGACTGCATGAGATTTTAAAGGATAGAAGTGGTGGAAAATGTGGAACAATTCAGTAACTGAGAGAGAAAGACAATGCTAGCCCCCCACACAAACAACAACTCTGCCAAAAAACTGAGAAAGGAGCCTTTGGGACGCCGAGTTCCTCTCCTTTCCACCCAATCGACTTGCCATGATTCCACAACCAGGGAATATCCCCCTTCCTTCTGGCCAGCCTCGTGGGAAAGAGGCTGGAAAAAGTGCCGGCTTTTGGAGGTCCGCCCTGTGCGTTTGTGCCCATTACTCATCAATGGGGGAAGCTGGAACGTTTGTTCCCTCTTCGTGCTGGCACATGACACGCAGCGAGTCTTCTCTGGCTCCGGTACGCCGCAAATTGTGACTGCCAAGTTTTTTGGCAGGAGACCAGAGGGTCGGTTACGCAACCGGCTTCCGTCATTTCACCATGAGCAAAAACAGATTGTTGTATTCATAAACAGTTGCTGTAGAGATTCACCCACACAGGCTGAGTCAATAGATAGTCTGGGTCACCCTCGGGGCCACCGAGATAAAAAGTGATGGTTGCAGAAAGTCAGACTGCATATAATCTACGACGACAACCCTGGTGTAAACAAAAATAATCTTGCCAGGGATACCCAGCTCCCTGGTCTGTGAGGAAACATTTAGACCGACTGTATCAGTATGGTTTAACCTGAACTACTCCTTTTAAAGTTAGTTTATTTAAACCTTATCTCTCCAAGCTGTCACAGCTGGAACACCTAATTACTTGTTCTCATAATTGTGGTCAATAAAGCTGCTTCTTTAAAACTAAGTATTATTTTTTAGCCTAATTTAGGTTTGATTTCTACGGAAGAGGATTAGGGCCACTGGAAAAAAAAAAAAAGTTAACTGATTT